TTATTTTCAAGGACCACATCCTAGTATACATCTGTAGCAATTTACATATATATATATATGTTTTTTAATACTTATATATATTTATATATATCTGTAGTATTAATTAACTACATATATCTGGGTTTTATTTCGTGTCGAGCACCTAAAGTACCAAAGTCGGCCCATCCAATTACTGCGCGCTACAAAATGATGAGGCCGCCTCACTTCACTACAAAATGCATGCTGTGATCAACTATTGCATGAAGTTCCAACGACCCTCACGTAAGCATGGTATCTAATATGCGTGTCAATTAGTGTGACATCGTGTCATCTAGAGTCAATTAGTGGTGTCAATTCGTATCGATTAGCTTTATTTAGTGGCAAGTAGTGCAATTGAGTGTCAATTAGTGACATTTAGTGTCCAATTAGTGTCAATGAATGTTATTTAGTGTTCATTAGGGTCAATTAGGATCATTATGGATCATTTAATTGTGTGTAATAATAAACAAAAAGCAACCAAAAAACAACAAATGAAGAGTACTACAAAATGGCATCCCCAGTATATATATATATACATACATAACTCCAAGGACAAAGTCCTGGACTATATATATATATACATATGTACCTCCAAGGACAAAGTCCTGGTATATATATATAACTCCAAGGACAAAGTCCTGGACTACATATGTTTCCTATTTAAAAAAAAAAACGTCCCTGTTCAGGACACTGCCTGTTCGGCAGACTAGTTACTGTTTCGTCATGGTCCTGGCTATAGTATTTATTTTCAAGGACCACATCCTAGTATACATCTGTAGCAATTTACATATATATATATATGTTTTTTAATACTTATATATATTTATATATATCTGTAGTATTAATTAACTACATATATCTGGGTTTTATTTCGTGTCGAGCACCTAAAGTACCAAAGTCGGCCCATCCAATTACTGCGCGCTACAAAATGATGAGGCCGCCTCACTTCACTACAAAATGCATGCTGTGATCAACTATTGCATGAAGTTCCAACGACCCTCACGTAAGCATGGTATCTAATATGCGTGTCAATTAGTGTGACATCGTGTCATCTAGAGTCAATTAGTGGTGTCAATTCGTATCGATTAGCTTTATTTAGTGGCAAGTAGTGCAATTGAGTGTCAATTAGTGACATTTAGTGTCCAATTAGTGTCAATGAATGTTATTTAGTGTTCATTAGGGTCAATTAGGATCATTATGGATCATTTAATTGTGTGTAATAATAAACAAAAAGCAACCAAAAAACAACAAATGAAGAGTACTACAAAATGGCATCCCCAGTATATATATATATACATACATAACTCCAAGGACAAAGTCCTGGACTATACATATATACATATGTACCTCCAAGGACAAAGTCCTGGCATATATATATAACTCCAAGGACAAAGTCCTGGACTACATATGTTTCCTATTTAAAAAAAAAAACGTCCCTGTTCAGGACACTGCCTGTTCGGCAGACTAGTTACTGTTTCACAGGAAAGGTATTAATTCTAAAAAACATTTTACTACAAAATGGTATCCCGGGGAAAGGATGGGAAAGGTATTAATCAAAAATTATCTTTGCTATAAGATGTCAGGCACGACTACACTTTTTTTATTATGTTAAGAACCTAGGGTCCCTACAAAATGCATAGCTCCAAATGCTCATAAAGTATCAAAAAAAGCTTCTCCTACAAAATGCTATTCCCAACCACATGTTTTACTATAAAACAATCGTTTTTTTCAGCTTTATAGCTTTCACAGGTGCATCCTTTCTGTAGTGGAAATTTCTTCCCGGATATCCAAACCACATCGCAGTTCGTTATTATCACGTGGTTAATCAGGTGATCACATTGCTGTATATCACATCCATTGTAACATTTCATTCCCTATAGGTAGGATATTCTTTTTCTCCCAATTGCGTTGCTCCGAATCAGCCCCTGTGGCGCCTGCGCCCAGAGCGGAAACTCCGATGGTGGGGGGCGGAGCCCCTTAATCCGGGCGCCGGCCCCGGGGCCGCGGCCCGTGGCATTGCCGGAGGCCTTCGGTGGTAACCGAAGGTTATATACGCTGGCCGCCCCTGCCGCCGACCACCTCCGGTCAATTCCGGTTCACCCCCGACCCACGATTATCGTTGTAATTTACAGTGTATTTTGCTCCTGGTGTTCAAAAACATCGTTTTTTACAGGGTTTCGGGCCCCTCGGCGGCGCAGAATTGCACCTTGGCGATGTTAAAAACTGTGGGTTTTTCCATAGTTTTTGCTTTGAGGGGCGGAAAAAATCGTAAAAAGTTGTCTCTGAAGATGTTTTCAACATAAACGGCCCAACATCTGACCAACATAGGCCCAAGATCGCCCACCTATCCTCCAGCTATGCCCAACATAGCCTCCAAGCTGGCCCAACATAGGGCCAACATAGGCAAACCTAGGCCCAACAGAGGCCAACATAGGCCCAACATAGGCGCAACCTCGGCCAACATAGGCCAACATAGGCCCAAGATGGCCCAACATAGGGCCAACGTGGGCCCAACAAAGACCCAAGCTGGGCCCAAGATGGGCCCAACATAGCCCAACATGGGCCCAACATGGGCCCAAGATGGCTCAACATGGCCCGATTTGGCACAACCTAAGCCCACGATGGGCTCATGATGGCTTGACGTGGCATGACATAAGCCTACGCTGGGCGCAAGATGGCTCAGCATGGGCCCGACGACAACGACGACGACGACAACCACAACAACCACCACCACCACCACAACCACAGCCACCACAAGCTTGGCCGGCGCCCGGCTGTCAGGCGTAAGCCTCATAAATCCGGCGATGCCTCGCCGTGTAGTGTGGGAAGCTAAGCATAGCTTTAGCTACCCGGGGGCGCGCCCCTGCCGCCGACCCTCCCCTAAAATCCTTCAGCCTGCTGGGGTTTTCACGTTTTTGGGGGTTCGGGGTGGGAAAAAAGATGGTAAAATTTGAAGATGCGTTTTGGAGGTTCTTGTTGGGCGTTTTTTGGTCGATTTTTGGTCATTTTTCCTGTTTTTTTGGTACTGTCCACGCGTAAAAATCGTGTAATTTACAATGTGTTTGTGCCTTTGGCATCCAAAAAAAGCTTTTGCCAACATGCAGGAAACTGCGTAAATAGCAGTGTTTTGGCTAGGCTCGGGCCACAAAACACTGTAAATACCGTGATTTTTGCTCGCAGAGGCTCAAAACCTCGTAAATACCGTGGTTTTGCGTTGGTGCCGAGCCAAAAACATTGGTATTTACGGTGTTTTTTTGTTCCGCGAAGGTGAAAAATTGCGAAAACACCGCCGATTTGACGCTTTTTGGAGTTTGCAAAAAACGTCCATTTGACAATTTTGGGGGGTTTGCAAAAAGTACCCAGTACAAAGATAGCAACGGCAACAACAACAGGACCACGCAGCAACAGCTATAACCACAATAACAACAACAGCAACGACGACGCTGACGACGATGATGGTGCCGACGACGACGAAGACGACGACAACGACGACAACGACGACAATGACGACAACAAGGACAACGACAACGGCAACGACAACACGAACAAGAACAAGAACGAGAACGAGAAGGAGAAGGAGGACCAGAAGCAACAACAACAACGACGACAACAACGACAACGACGACGACAATGACGATGACGACAACGAAGATGCAGCTCGCAGCATGTCATGTCCGCAAGTTCAGATGAAATCCCCCTCTCTCTTTCCCTCCCCCGACCCCTACAGGCATCGCCGGTGTGCGAAGCTCTACAATATATATATATATATATTGTATGTATTTATATATAGACACATGTCTATTGTATATATTATGTACATCGAATCTCAGACTATTTTGTATTGATACAGACATATCAATACTAATTAATCTGATTGCTTTTGCACACTGCATCACAATCATCAGATTGCCACGGAAAGCTTTGTACAGGCACAGCTGTGCACAGTCCTGGTGAAGGGCTTCGTATCTCCCTCCCCTGCCACATCACACGTCAACACAACATTCAAGAGATATCATGGGGATATGAAGGTTTCCTAAAATGGGGCTACCCCCAAATCATCCAAGTCATTGATGACCATGAAAACACATAAAGTAATATTGAAACCTATGGTGGCTTGTGGATCCCCTATGACCTAAGAAACCTCCAAAATGCGGAGGTTTAACTGTCGTGAGCAGTTCTGCAAAGCCTGTGCAACTCATCACTTGCAGCTTTCTTTTCCCTCTTTTGCGAATCTCTCTAAATTGGTCGGGCGAGAATCCGACCAATCCGACCGGAACAGGGGACCAAAAAACTGAGACTAAGTCTGAGGCTGAACATGGCCATCCAAGTGAGGAAATCCAACAAATCCATCGTTTCCATCAGAGCAGCTGTTCATTTTCCGGAGATTTTTTGATGTTTCAGCAACTGTTGTGTTCCACACTGAGGCAATAATGTGACATGGTGGTTTCCTAAAGTGAGGGTACCCCCAAATCATCGATTTGGGGGAAGTTCCAATATAAATTTGTTACTTTTTTATACATCATCCAGGCCTTGGGGCCTTGGATGGCCTTGGGGTACCCCCATGACGATGGAAACCCCCATAATGTGACATGGCATGATGAAATTTTCGATTGTCAATGCCTTTCACAGCTGAGCCCCAAATCTGGGGGGCTTCCGATTTCGAGCTCCGCTTCAGCGGTGCCAGCTGTGCGCCTTTAAGGCAAAATCTCAGCCCCACGCAGGGATGCACCAGTGGTCAAAACGAAACTGGAATCACGAAGCATCTGAATACTGAATGTTCAGAGAAAAATTGACTGCAACAATACATGCAGAATCGACTTCTCAATCTGGTCCAAGATTTTACCACATTTCAAACTTGAGTGCAACCGAACAGGAACTGAGTCGAAAGGAAAATGCTCTGGCTTGCTCGCGGACATATAATTGCAAGCGGGATGGATTGCCCTTTCCTACTTGCAGTGAAACGAGATTCACGGATTCACCGGTTAGGAATGGCTTGTACACCCCAAGCGGATCACAAATATCACAAGGATATCGAAGTAAAGGCATCTGCAGGCCTGGACAGTGATGCGGACAGTGATGCTAGTGATGCCAGCTTTTTTCACACTCTGAGAAGATGAGGATATCGTGAGGCTCAGTGACTTTCCAGCTTTTTCGAGTAGTTTCACACACAGTTAAACATGTTAAACCATGTTAAACCATGATCCAAGGTAGGGGTAGATTAAATCGTGAATCTGCTTTGAAGACACCAATTCCAGGTATGGATGGAAGAATACGTATCTGTGTTGTGGATCTATCTAATAAATTCTAATAATATGATTATATTGAACTATGTTGTGATATGTTGTGATGTATGTATATATATATTATGTATAATATACACGGTCAAGCACTCCCAAGACCTGATTGATAAGGCCCCTGACCATACCTCTTATATATTGATAGCTCTAGAAAAAAAACTAATAATACTCGTTAAAAACGACCATAAACTGAGGACAGAAAACAAAACCACCGAAAACCACCAAGCAGTGCAGAAACTATGTAGTGGACAGATGTGGACAGTGCTCTCTTTCCAAGTTCGAACTTCACTTCAACCTCAGGAGTTGCACCGATCTCCCCGATCACTCGCCTTGCGCATTCTGCGTCTTTCTGAGACTCCTGTGCGAAGACACGTGACACTGGTCACTAGAGTCTCTACACTGGAGTATTCAATGACAATCATGGCAAGAAACTGTGCACAAGCATGAAACAGATTGAACTAAAAATAGCATGAAGCTTCAGAATATCCACAGAATTCGAAACATTTCGAAACATCTTCGAAACATGTACCATGACCAGGACCGTGACGCCATGACCAGCCTGCAGATGCATCTTGAGCCACCTGTTTCAGGCGGGCCGAAAATACTCCAGGGATGGAAAATCGTGCCAAAGAATCCAAACAGGTCATTTTGATTCATTTTGGACATCGGATGACATCGGACAAGCCACGCTGGCCGACACAGAGATGGAGGTATCTTCAACATCAAATTCTCTTCCTGGCGAGAACTGAATCAAAAAAAAACTCCCGGAGAGGAGTATGCCACCAGTATGCCACCGTCACACAATCACACCATCACAGGCGCAGAACACTGAGCATTTCAACAACTTGGGAGCCAGCATCGGGCACAGCAATACCTCCACAACCACGGGAAGTGACAAGACTAAGATCGCAGCACATTAGTCTATGAATTCAGAACACTGAGGATTATCGCACCTATCACAGAATCCATAGACTTCATGGTATTGATCGTGCTCACGTCCAAGCCTGACAAGCAAACAAAATATGAAAAAAATGGAATTGTATCCACTTCCACTCGGATGTGTATGTGTTCACTTAAATTCATACTCTGACTATCAAGGAGAACCTTCAACTGCGCTGGCAACGACGCTCTTCAGATCATCGCCAAGATCTTCCACAGATTTCGCGGAAGCGCCGCGAATGACCTTGCAGTGCTAAGTGCCAAGGAAAAAACTGGTTGGTGGTAGCCTGACCCCTCTGAAAAAAATATGAAAGTCAGTTGGGATTATTATTCCCAATATATGGGCAAAAAAATGTTCCAAACCACCAACTAGAAAACAGTTTGAAAAAAATATACCATATATAACAATCCAACAGGATCAGGGACCAAGTATTTTCAAGTACCCTTCGTTGCACCTGCTTCTTCACAACATTTGAAAACAACACTCAGAAGAAACGTCTCGCACTTTCGGCGCTACCTTCCTACACTTCTGTTGCCGAGGCTGCCGAGGTACTGGAGAAGCTGAGACACTTTGTGGTGACCAGGTCTGTGCTTGTTCAATCCTTCGCGCCTCACATCTTTTTTGGTCGATGTCTTGCGATGTCCACATGTCTGAATTCAATACCTCCACAGCTGTCCACAGCCGTAGTGCCTGCACAGTGCCTGCATAGTGCCTTCATGTCAACTTCTGGCTGTCACAGGTTCCACAGTCAGAAGGCACCTTCCACGATTCTTCTTCAAGCGCCAGTTCGGCCCGCACCGCTTGTGTTGCTTTGGCATTGTGCCTCCAGCGCTGAAATCTGCGAGCCGATCTCATGCAAATGCAATCACCAAGTGGATGATAGACCACATTAATGGATATTCGGGTGGGTTAACCTTCAAACTGGTGGATTCAGTAAAATGCTTCCAAAAATCTTGAGGGTCACTATATGTCGCTACATTCGATTCATTTGGATGTGCTTCACGTCCCTTTGCGTCGCTTCGTTTGTCTCACGGCCTGCTTCGCCACGTTCGCGAAACAAGAAGAAATAGAAAGGCCACCAGTACCAAGGCAAGCCCAGCCAAGCCAGGCTTCTTGATCATGGCACCTCAAAGGAGCTTCCCGATTGACCTTTTGTGTGGAAAAAAAAACATGGAAAAACATGGAAAAACTACTTCTGACTTCTACTGATCCTACCATGTGGCTGCATGTGGCTTGATCCTTGATCCTGGCACCGTTTGGGCAATGTCACTGGCCTGTTTCTGGACTCACTAATGAACATTTAAAGGGGCTCCCTCAGGCAGGAACTACACTTTGTGTGCCGCCTGCACAAGAGTGTGCCGGACAATATCTTTTCGGCGTTTAGCAAATCCTTGATTCAAACTGCGCTTCAGGATCTGACCCAGGTCCTTTCCAAGGCACTGTGAGGATCCCCCTTCCAGGGCCACCAATGCAAAGTCTCCACATCGTCTGTGACCTGCCCATTGTCAGCTCACGAGTTCTCCAGAAGATGAAAAGGGCACCTTCCTTTGGTCAAACCCAAGTATATATATATATGATATATATATATATTATTATTATTAGTTATAATCATAATTATATATATATATGGGTAAATTACAATATTTCACTAACCTGAATTAAGGCCAGGCCTTACCCGTTGATTTCTCGGATCCCTTCCCAGCCAAAGCGCCGTCCAAAGGAACCCGTCCATGTCCAACGTTGAAACATGCCCCGTCTCATCTTGAGAGGGGTTCTGATGAAAAAAAAAATGACCTGAATTACGGTCATTTTGGGATGATTCCCCGAATCCTAACTATGATTATAGTGAGGTCGCAGTGAGGTCGTTATAATTTACCCATATATATATATTATATATGTATATGCATACCTGTATCCTTGTGCGACCAATAATTAGCAGGTGTTTGAGTGAACGACCACATTCTTGCGAAACGACCACTTCCAGGAAACCCACCGCAGCCATCTTCCAGGAATCTTCAGCTTGGCATCCCAGGACATCTCCAGGAACATTTTGGAAGATAATCTTCTAGAATGGTAATTTCCATTCAGTGAAATTCAATGCCATTGGGGAGATGCACACCTGTGAATCTTAATTGTTCATCAAATCCCGTCATGCCATAGTATCAATCCATAATCTCAGTTGCAATGTCTTCTTGAAATCATCTCAGCGGGAAGGTCTTGCTGGCTCAGTTGATTGAATCTCGACTTTACACCTCCGGCATTGTTTTTTGAATCTAACTCCTTTTTTTTTAAAGGGCGCTTTCCCCATATTATATTGATTGGTCTCCCATGGACAGCCCTTGGCTGCATCTTTTTGTTCTTCGCTCGCACTGCCAGGTGATGGATCAAAGTAGCCTTGGCTGCTGCTGGTCGGGGAGTGCCCCATGGGTCTGGGTCAGGCTTATTAATAATGGCAGGGAAAAAAAACAAGTGACCTATACATTCTTCATTGGTGCCCCCAAGAAATGGCCCCAGGTCACTTTGGAAAACCGACTGTTGTGCAAATTGCAGCGCTTTTGGCTTTCCCTTTCCAGCTGCAGGGGTAGCAGCAATGGACCCAAAAGATTTTTCTTTTGTGGACTCGTGCTGGAAAGCTTGGGAGACAGTGGGGGAAATCCGGTCATCAGCCATCAAGAAGCAGAAGCTTATTCGGAATGAGAAAGCATCTGGTCTGATCCATCCCACACTACAAAACATCAGGTTCAACTATAAGCTCTTGAAAGGCTTCACCCAGCACATGGCCGCTGTTGGTGTCATTATGACAAAGAGGTTAGAATTCCTGAAGCCACCCATTGAGAAGTATTACCGGCAGATGGAAGTTGATACCTCAACAGAAGCAATGACAACAACAATTCATGGGGTGGGCATTCTAGTGAAGAAAATGTTGAGCGTGATCAAACGTAAATGGTCTCGATGGGAGATGCCAAGGGTGCCTAGACAGAAAACATCTTGAGTGATTTTTCACTATATACTGTAGTTTGGGAATGTGAGATGATAATGGGTTTATGTTTTTTTTGGGGAGAGCATTTCAGCAACACTAGGATCGGATGGTCAAGGACCTTGTGCTGGATCTAGCTTTAGCTTCTAACAAAGCTTGGGAAGATACTTGGCTACAATGTTCAGTTTGAGTTGCCAACTTTTGGAAATACCAAACAATTTACTGTCATGGCCCAGATTATAGTTTAGCATTTGGTAAGTTACACGTGTGAAGGATGGAAGATCTCCATTTCTTTTTGATGATGAAGCTGCTCCTGACGAGGGAGATATCAGTGACTTTAGTGTTCGTGAGTCGCTTTCCCGCAGCAATTCCTTGCTGGAAGCTGAAAGGGAAAAGGGTTGGGAGGAGCTCCAAGCTCTTGCTGACGAAATGGCCCGTGACAATGATCCCACTTTGACGCTTGATGGGCCTGATGATGACGTCGTAGAAGTCCCCATGCAATGTGGATATCCTGAAGTATTTCCTGATAGGCAACGCTTCCCGTCCAGTGAGTCTTCCCCGGCTGCTGCCCCCACGCACATAGACTTGGACTCTCCAAGCCCTGCAGCCCCTGTCACCCCACCAGCAGATCCGAACAAAGACAATCTCCTCAAGTTGCTTCAGATTGTGCAGGCCAAGGCATCGATCAGTAAAGCGGCTCCCAAGACTGAGAAACATGGTTAGTTTATGTTAGTCTCATATTGATATGTTATATGCTTTCATTTTTTCAATTTTCCCTTTGCTCCCCCTGTTTTCTGCCTCTAAATTCCACATGCCTACAAACATGTGCTTTATTACTGAGTGCAAGCAGTGGCCACATGTTCTGAGGACACCTCCGGTCTCTTCGGGCAGTGACGGGGTTGACATCGCAAAGGCCACAGCTACACGTGTGGAAAGAAGCAGTGCTTTGGAGCAAAACAGAGACCTCTTTTGATAATTTTGAGTTTCCAGCCAAGGAAAAGATAATTTCACATGGCTTTGTTTTTCTAGACACTGCACATGTGAAGTAGGTGCAGCCATTCCAACGCCTCATGAAGGGCACGTGGCGGTTGCTTTGGGTGAAGCACTCCGGGCATCGAATGCTGAGATTCGGAAGGCCCTTTCCCATTCTTGTCAAACATCCGTTTGCCGTATTATATCGAAATCATAATTGCATAATTGTATACGCATTTGAATACAAAAAATAAATATACCCATATGTATGTATACATTTACATATGTGCCACATAAACTGCATATATAAATAATATCATATTTATATAATATATATATACGGTAACGACTTAAATATGTGGAGGGCGGACCAGACCGTGAGGCCCCGGAGGTAGTATGAAATACCTGTTCGTATATTTAAATGCATGTTTCGCTAGCACACCTACCAGACGCTGACTATCAAAAAATACGTATTTTATATAGTTGTACCACTTGCAAACTTTGGACCTATAGCCAAGGGTTGGGAAACATTTGCAGGACACCTCCACTGATGACAAGCTCGCAGCCCTGCTTCGTGATCAGCAGCTTGCATTGGCCAAAGCCAAAGCGAGAAAGAACCGTGGAGAGGGGGAGGCAGAAACAGGTGAGGGGGGGGATGAGGAACAAGGCCAGGAAGAGGAGGAGGAAGAAGAGGCAGATGATGATGAGGAGACGGCAACCCCCAAACCAGGGCGCAGAGGAAAAGGGAAACCCAAGGGCAGGGCGAAAGCGAAAGCAAAGGCAGCAGGTAAGGCCAAGGCGGCCAAGGCAAAACCCAAGGCTAAGGCAAAGGCATCAGGCAAGGCCAAGGCAAAGGGGAAGTCGAAAGGTGAGGCCGATGGTGCAGGTGATGTATCGGGAAGTGATGGAGGATCTAAGAGGTTGGCTGAAGGTGTTGAAGGGGAAAAACCTGAGAAAACTGAGAAAGCAACCTTTGCCAAGCGTTACAAACCGGGGCGCAACCCTGAAAAGTGGCTCCAGTCCCGTGCAGTGTGGATGAATTTCCTTTTTGACAAGCTCAAAAGCCATGTCACCATGGAGGAATTTGGTTCTGAAAAACATTTCATGAGAAACAATCCTGTTAACCCTGTCAAGTTTCTTGGTGTGCATGTATGATTTGACAAGCTTGATTCCGATATCCCAATCAACCCCTTACAGGAGGAATGGTGGAAGCATTGCGGGGAAGCCATGAAGGAAACGGGCGATGTATCAGTGATCACCACCAACCTTGCTCATGATTTCTTGGTCAAGCCTGAAACGCGTGAACGCATCCCATTAAATATAGCATGGTTTTTTTGGCCCCCAAGATTTATTCAAATACTTTGTCCGTTTTAGGGGTCAACATTAGCACTTCCACCGTCTGAATGCTGACAGGTGACATCTACACTGCGGTGGGCAAGCGCTACATCAGCGAGCTCCCGGTTCCATGAACATAGCGGTGGAGCACAGTTGCCTGGGTTTTTCCAGCAAGTCTGAGTGAAGGCACCCATCAGAAGTGCCGACAGCAGGTCAGAGCTTCTTTGGGCGTAGGGTGGCACTTCTGCTTGCACATGCATGTCTATATAGGATTGGGGTTGTTTGATGAAGTGCCACCTGGTACCCGGCGCCAATTTATGTGGCTAGGCTCTGCTTCAACATGTCACAGCAAGCTCAAACCCATGAGAGAAAAATGTTCCTGCTGCCTGGAACCCTCCAACCCAGTGCTAGAACATACACTATAGTTATATTCCCCTTCCATGATTTGATAGCTTAAACATGTTTCCAATCATTTTGTGGTAGAACCCCCCCTGGCTGCTTTCCAGGTACGTATGAACATCTTGGCGGCAACCGACTTCTATGATGATGCGGAGCTGCACCATGGTGATGAAGGCCTGCTGGGTCACAGGGTTGAGACAGCATACCTTTTGCAATTTCAAGGAATGACAGTTTTCATGTGTGTCCCTGGGGTTGAAACTATGCATGTGCCACGCAGCGTGTTTCATAGCTCAGGGCTGACCAAAAAAGGCAGTGACAGGATGCCCCGGAAACCAGAATATGTCGCTGTGCAGTTGCTCAAGCATGGATCACCAAAGGCCGGGCAACTGCCTTCAAGATCAAACGTATTGGATACACAATTTCATGGTTGGACATGTTACTGTCTCAAAAAAATAGTGGGGCCCCAAAGGCCTTATTTGTTTCAATTGAAAATGAATTTTGGGGCCCCTCTATTTTGAGATCTTTCCTTATGATCCCATCCACCCTTGCCTTGCTAGATCTTCGTGCTGGCAACGCTGCTTTTGATGTGGAATAGCCGCATCGAGCTGAATGAGGCATTCCTGCACATATCAAAACATGTTGGCATCAATCTTGAAAAAAATATGGTTTGATCATCTAATGAATGAATGTACATAATTTTGGCATTGCCTGCCAGGGGTTGGTGTTTATAGAGCACTATGCTGGTGCATCGGAAATGACGAACACTATGAGAGAGAATTCTGTGCCCAGCGCACGCTTGGATCTGAATTTGC